GGGTATAAATTTTATGGTAGTATGGTACTGTAAGAGACCATCTGTTTTAAATAACACATGAGTGTATACAATTAAGATGGTCATGAATGGTTTACTCACAGCTCATTTCCTTTTATCCTGTAGAGGAATATGTTGTTTTCAAATTTTAAGGTTTTTGCTACGAAATAACTGACTGTATATAATGAATTTTTATTGTATATTTTAATTTTTAAGTCCTGATGAAATGTACTATATTTGGACTGTTAAATTATGTATTTGTAGTTATGTGATCAAAATAACTGCATCAAACTTCTATATTATGAATAGGTCTTTTGTATTGATTTATGATGGTGACAATGATAATCATATACCTGCATAAATTTGATCATATTTGAATATTTTATGTACAAATTTTGTATTGTGATTGTATTGCATATTGATGGGTTCATTGTTTTTGTGTGTGTTTATATATTTTGACATGATCTATATCCTATGGCATGTGGGACCTGAAAAGGATCTATGGAATTTAAAATAAAGTGAAAGTGAAAGCTTAATCATTGATGCACATACAGTCACATGTGCAGTGGCTGAACTATATAAGGTGAAGAACAGGGACAGCCATTCTGTGTGCAGAAAGTGCAACAACCAGTCAAAGAAAATCTCCACATTAATTAACATCACAACTGAATACTGGTTATGTGATATGGACTATAAACAGTATAAGAAGCAAGGCAGTTAATTCTGTATATGTATTACCTGACTGGAAATATAATATTTCCTCTCATAGTTTGTTTCTTGGTTCCAAAGACTGGGTGCAAATATAGGTATGTATATGGTTGGTTCTGCATAGACATTCATAAAATACATGCACATTATACTTCTCCAAACTATAGAAATATTATCTTATTTCATGTTGCTGGAAGTAAATTTATTTCCCCAGTGGTTTGTGCACTGACCTTTTCACTATCATATTTTTCAAGCACCGACAAATTCGTGAATCTAGAATATCTTTTGCAAATACTAGTACCAGCATTTTGGACAATATTTTCTATGTGCTTGTTTCCAAACATTCACAAGCCATGTGACAATACTATCAACTGGAAGCAGATACATTTGTATGAGGGTTGGAACTTTAATAGTGGCAACACTGCTGTAGAGATGCCATGCAACAGAACCAAATAATGTCGCTTATACCACACGTTAGTTACATACCTACCTTACCTCAAAGCAAATGGACTCTCCCTTCCCACATCACTCGCATGTGCAGTGACAAGAACAACAGAGCCTCATGTTAGATGGTGGTCTAATGTAGTGTTGTCACGATGTTTTCGAAACAGGAACAACAGAGTTGGATAAAGACTGAATGTGCCAGAGGCCGTACAGCACGACAGTGTCATCAAGGTCTACAAGAGGCTTGCGGGGAATCTGCATTGCCTTACAGAACAGTGGCAAGGAGGGTAAAAGCCTTCAACGAGGGACGACAATATGTGGCAAACATGAGTCGGCCAGATCGTCCTAGTGTCAGTGAAGAAGTGTATGCTCTTTCCATGTTATTGGAGAGTGATCGATATCATATGATTCATGAGCTGGCCCGAGAGACAGGATTAGCGCATATGACTGTGCTTCACATTCTGAAGGAATGCCTGGGCATGAGAAAAATTGCATCACGATGGGTTCCACATGATTTGATGGAAATGCAGAAATGGCTACGATACAACACTGCTTGTAACCACTTGGAGCACTGTAAAAGTGGAGAAGCTTTCTCACGCTGGATGAGATATGGGCCAAATCGTACGAGCCACAAGTGAAATGCCAATTGAACGAATAGCGTCATTACAGGTCACCACAAAAATCAAAAAAGTTCATCAGAAACCCAGCAATGTGAAAGTTATGGGGATTCTCATGCACAACTGTGATGGTGCTATCCTAATGCATACTGCTACGTGACAGCAGACCGTCAATGCACAGTATTACTGTTAATTTTTGGAACACAACCTGTGACCAGCTTTGAGAAAGAAGCGGCGACACTTTCTGCAGAACCCACCCATCATTTTACAGGCCAATGCTCGGCGGCATGCAGCACAAGGTGTGGCTGATTTGTTCGATCGATGGGGCTGGGAAGTGCTGTACCATCCGCCATACTCCCCGGACTTAAGCCCTTGTGACTGCGACTTGATTCCTAAGATGAAGGAAGCACTTTGTTGCATTTGCTTCAGAACTGTTCCAGAGATTCTTCAAGCAGTAGACTGCTCCATTCGAACTATCAACAAAACAGGGGCTGCTAAAGGTATCCTAAGACTTCCACATCGCTGGAAATGGGTTGTACACAATGCTGGTGACCACACTGAAAGACAGTAAAACTTCAAAACATGCATCTATTTTGTATCAGTTGTAAATAAACAGTTGCCACTAATAAAGTTCCAACATGATACACTAACTTCCCAAGTGTGACAATACGGTCAGCACCTAAGTAATCAAATCAACGAATTAAAAGTTACACATTCAGGCTCTGCTGAAAACATATTCACCTAAAACACTGGCTTCTGCATACATTTTTGTATCACGTTATAATAAAGAGGTCATTATTCATGCATTTTGTTCCCTCATTATCATCAATGCCACCACTACCAAGTACTACAGACTGAGCTTCCATCCAGATCCATCAGCAAAAATTAAGAAATGCTATTTTGGCTACATAATGTGCTTGCAAACATCTGCAGGATCCAAAATTTTCCTCCCCCCAAATTAAGTTATACACCTCGTGCTATAACCCTAGAGCATTAATATTTAATTTGGAATGTGGCCACTGCAGTACTACTGGTTACATAAATGAAGCTGAAAATATCAAACAAAGGGAGCACATGGTAGCATAGTTGGTTGAGGCACTACACTACAAGCTGGAACGTCATGGGTTCAATTCCTTATGAGCTCAGCATATTTTTCAGTTGACCTAATCCTTCGAGCTCAATGCAGCCTCTAACCTAAATGAGTACCAGGAATCTTCCTGGGAGGTAAAGAGCAGCCAGCATGTAAGGCTGCAACCTCACCACCATCTGCGTGCACAATGCCTAGAAAATATGGGACCCTCCATATCTCACAACCCTATGGGTCTCCATGGCCTGTTACAGGGATAACTTTACCCTTATCTTACCTTTATATCAAATAAGACACCCTTAATATTAAGGTGCATCTATTGACTAATAAAATCAACTTCTTCCTCAAAATTCCCAAATCAAGTGTTATTAGAATGAAACTCATTTGCAAAACCTTTAAGGTCAAAATGTAAAATTTAAAGATGAGATCTTTACAAAAATATATCAAAATATACAGACGAACTTGTCTGGAGGCTGAGTGTACTCTGAGACAATACAGGATAAAAAAAAACTTCCACATTTTTAAGTCTTTAACATCAACATCATGTCAGTTTTTTATATTGCAAAATGTACCAAAATACACTCACATATGGGAAGGAAAAAAACTCTATTCCAACAGAAATGCACTGTTTTCATATTCACTGTATATTCTACTGAAATTTATGTATCTACCCCTACTTATCCGTTTTAACCATACTATAAATTAAAATGAAAGAGACTCATTACATATGTGCAAGTATAAGTATGTCGTGTGTGATTAGAGATTATGTCCTTAATCACAGCAGGCTGGGCAAGCACCACACGAACAATTCTCCATTCTCTATGACCAGACGGTCAGTGAATTTAACTCATACCTCCATTTAATCAATATATTAACTTCCAAGACAATAGTTTTGAAGAAATATTTGCAATAACTATACACTATCTGATCAGAAGTATCCAGATATCCCTCTGTAGTAGTAAACTGAAGCCTAGGTATCACTGTGACTGCACTTACCAGTATAAAAGGAGGCAGAAAGCTGTGAACTGCTCATTATTCAGCAGTACCAGCAGCATGGGCTGGGGAGCTCAGTGACTTGAAACGTGGACTAGTTATTGGTTGCCACATCAGTAAGAAATCTTGTCAGGGCCATTGCAACCCTTCTAAAGTTGCCAAAGTTAACAGCAGGTGAAGTGATTGTGAAGTGGAAACGTGCAAGCACAACCACAACGAAACCATGACCAGGAAGACCGCTATCAATGACAGACAGGGACCATCAAGTGTAGAAGAAGAAGATGGTTCATGAAACTCGCCTGACAATGAGTGAAATAATCATCCATCAGTTCCACAGTGCTACAAATTGTTCAGCCAGCACCATGACTGTGCATCAGAAGTTAAGAGCAGTGGGGTTCCATGGGGAAGCAGCTGCCCATGAACCAAACATTTCGCCTCTGAACACTAACTGGCAGCTAAAGTGGTGTAAAGAGCAATGCTACTGGACAGTGGACAACTGGAAGCATGTGATTTGGGGTGATGAATCACGCTATACCATGTGGCAGTCAGATGGGAGGGTTTGGGTGTGGTGAATGCCTGGAGAACAATACCTGCCAGCATGTGTAGTGTTAACAGTGATATTTTGAGGAGGTGGCATTACAGTGTGGGGTGTTTTTCATGGAATTGACTTGGCCCTCTCATATTACATGGAAGGATGCAAGGACATTTTGATGCATTGTGTACTGTCTATGATAGAAGAACAGTTTGGTGATGACAACTGTATCAGCATAATGCTCCCTGCCATAAAGCAAGGTCTGTGAGGGAATGGTTTGTGGACAGTAAGTTGCAGAAATGGACTGCCCTGCCCAGCCCAGCCCAGGGTTCTGAACTGAATCCCATAAGAACATGTGGGATGAATCAGAATGCCAACTTCACTCCAGACCCCAATGCCCCACATCACTAACTGCTATGGCTACAGCTCTGCAGCACATTCTGCCAGAGATATTTAGACACCTGGTAGATAGTCTCCCCAGCAGAGTTAGAGCTGTTACAAAGGCAAAGAGTGGGCCCACCCAGTATTATTGTCCACAACTGGGAAGTTTATCACAAAAAAGGTCACATTATATACAGTTCCAAGTAAGTGTTTGGATAATTTTGATCAGATAGTATACCCACAAAGTGAAGCTTTTCATGATGTTTTGATGCAGTGAAGGCAAGGTTACCTCTGTGCTTAACTAATTATGCGCCAAGCCATGAAGATGTATGGGAGATTGGATGTAAAGCTCCATCATTATTGACCTTGGCACTAGATGGAAGTGAGTATTCAGCTTCATGCCATGGGTACTTAAGCCTTGGGGAAGAATCCCTGGTACCCACTGGACAGGAGGCTGGGTAGGCAACAGAGATGGTCTGGCTGCTGTGGAGTAGAGAAAAATCTCTTGCTCCTGCTGGGAATGCCAGTAAATTATCTTTCTTTCTGGAGCTCTACTAATTACAATCAAATTAAAAAAAGCAAACTGGTGTTGATGTGAGTCTTACATTTACAGAACATACTCACCATACTGAATTTTCAACAGCCAAAGGAAATAAAAAATTCCTCTTTACAAAGCTCTGCTTTGAATCGAACTTCAAAGTTGTCACTACCCTGTTGCAAATCACATTGGTTAGCCATAAAACCATTACCAGTAAGTATAAATATATGTCAATAACAGCTACATGATCATTCCTTGACATTAGAAACACACAAGCCATCAGTATGACAGCCACATGCAAATCACATTCATGGACTGGGTATAATAAAGGGAAACAAGAGAATGAATATGCAAGCAGTGTTGCTTGTCACATCAGACTGACCTTAAAAGCACTTCCCATGTCGTTCTTATGGAGAATAAACTCAATACACATGCAGTGTTACATGTGCGCACTTAACTGAAACGGTACAATTCATTTCCTGTATTTAAAAAAATCATGTTTAAGTTTTTGGCAGTGAAACATCAGTCTTTTATCACAAAAATCACATTTTTAAAGTATTGCATCACTCCAGTTCTTTGCTTAAATAAGACAAATGCCATGGCATATGGAAAACAAGTTCAATGTGTGCCACCATTCTGAAATTTAATGCCCTGTGGCCCATCATGGCCAAAGTCTATCCAAAATTTACCAGGCACACACAATATAGAGGAAGAAATCAAATAATCTCTCCGATCCACTAAAAAGGCAAGCGACATTCCTCCAGAGAAAGAAAGTAAAGAACAGAAATAATATAACACAAGTAACAAATTGAAACGTGGAAAATGTGTCTTTGATGTAAAAACGGATATGATTTTTTTCCTTGGAAATCTCCGAACTCCAGTGTTACTTCATATTTCCATTCACAAATTTCCCCTTCAGAACATAAAAATATTGGCATCTTTACTTTCCAAACCTGAAACTATCATTTTAAATTGTTCAATATTCTGACAGCATCCAAACCATATTACAATAACTAATGAACCTTCACTTCATCTTCAATAAGTTCCATGCAAGTGTCACAGAGTGGGGAAAATATTCCTTGAGATCACCCGTTTCAGAAGTCTTTCCTTAGATTTCAATATTTCGATGTTACTGTAGTTCTTTCTTTTCCCCTTTTATATATAGTTTTACATCACTTGATATTTACAAATGTCTACCACTGTATTCTGTACAGATCTTCTTTACATGTCCATCCAGAATTCTCTGATGAAATAAATTACCTCCATCTTGCACATTCTTCTCTTTCATACATATTTAATTTCTTGCATTATTCAATGTTATGTACAGGTGGATAAAATACTACTCGAACCTTAAAACTGATATACATGCCACTTCTATCCCGGCCATATGTTCAAAATGTGTCTTGTTACTGTGCCTGATTCTTCCTCTAATGTTGTTAAAATACATTCTGAGATCAAATATATATATACACATATATAAATATTAATTCTTCCAGAGTCATCACCAGTTTCAAACTGAGATTGGTTTCAATATATTTCATGTCTAATGCCTTTAAAATCATCTATATTATGCACCAGTTCATCGTGCTAAATCTCATCTTTTGGTGCCTTTCATAGAGTGGTTACTGGATACGTTAGATGCCACATCCAGTGTTTCACAGCTTCACTATATGGGCAAGACCAGATATGCCCACCCCATCAGTCAACTGCTACTGACTCCAGTCATCATGAGATGAGACTACCCACCTGACTGCTGCCAGGGCTTTGCTGTAACAGACAAAACAAGCTGAAATTAACCAAATTTTGGATTAATCACATTGTACCAATTACTCATTTTATTTGAATGTCTTTTGCTAGAATAATTAGCATAAATTCTATGAGTCAAAAATCATATATATATAACAGAATCTAGTTTCTCATCCTGAATGTGTGATTTCACAAGGCAAAATGACTGCAATATCTGATTTCTGACAGTAGCAAATTTGAATAATGTCCATTAACAACTGAACATCTAAGCTAACTGTAATTATTAGAAACAAAGTACTTCAAAACTCAAAGGACTATAAAGTTGGGTCACGAAAAGAATCAAGACTATCCCCCACGAGTCTGCTAACAGCTGCCTTTTCTCTAGTGCCTTCCTCCTGTCCCATAAATTATCACTTGTATTCTGCCTTTCACTCTATCTACATGTTCTATCCTTTTGCATTCTCAGTCTGCGAGCACTCTCACACGAGCTCTCATGAACCTGCTCACTAGAGCTGAAGCTACAAGGACATTGTCTGGCCCCACAGAGATGGCACACGAGAATGGCCACCTGGCTCTCCTCACTGGCAGCCGCTCGAGCATGCCAGTGGCAGGGCATGCAGTCTTATTGAGCCTTTCAGACGAGCATGCGTGAACTCGGCAACTAACAATGTCACTGCTATTCTCTCCACACCGGGGATACATCTCATGTTGGTCTCTCTCTGATGGAATGAAAACCTCAAACTGTTGCATAATTCATCAAAAGAAGATATGGATATTATGAAGTGATTAAAAAATTTTCTTTCATCCTCCCATAGCTTATGAAACAGAATATAAAAGCACCCTTCTTCTAATCTTGAGCTAATTATAGGATGAACCCACAATGTTCGATTACTTTTTCTTTCCTTTTTCTTATTAATTGCTAGGATTAATAAAATTGCAGCTTCTTCTGGTTCAAGCATGACTACACTACGCACTACATTGAACTGCTGTCATGCTTTCGGTGACTGCAGCGGCTCACACAAGCAACTGTTCGGAATACGCAGCTCAGCTGAGCGGCTCCCGTGCACAAGTTCATGAGAGCTCATGTGAAAGTGCTCTGATACTGTCATATCTGAGTCTGCCATAAATTTTCACTGATAAATCATGTTATTTCATTTTTTAAATATATTAATATTTACTACACAATTTATGGGGCACATGGTAGCATAGTTGGTTGAGGCAGTATACTATAAGCTGGAAGGTCGTGGGTTCAAGTCCTGATGAGGTGGATTTTGATTTACCTAATCCTTCCAGCCGCACTATGGCCCTAGGGTTGACTCATGGTATACAGATGTAAAGTATGAAATGGCACTAAGAAGTATGGCAGGACAACAGCTTGGATGAAGACTCATTACAGACGTCATAGGAGGGCATTCCAACCATGCACAGAAAATAAATGACTAATTGAGGCCAAAATCTAAGACCACTGTAACATTTCTGTCTTACCACAGGCTGCAGAATAAAATGATCAAACACCTCACACAGCTCCTCCATCCGGTACTCCTCAAGACATACAAATCCCTCCAAACCTGGTGCCTGCTTGCGGGCACAATCCATGCAGTGCACCACATGCCGCTTCTCCTGCTCACGGATGAAGAGGATATTGAACACCTCAATCTGTATGCACACATACAGAAAAGTTGTAACACACAAGTCTATAATCTATTTTTTTGGATGAAATGACACAGCACATGAATACAACTTCAAAATAGCACATCACTGCAATGTATGTGATCACTGATTTACAAATAACATTTTATGCACAATGTGTAATAATGTGCAGGTATATTTATAACCTATCTCCACACTAAATTTCACATGCCTAGCTCCAATGGTTCATTAACTATCAACAACACACTGAAAGCTGAAAAATACTTCTGCAAAGCCACCATGTTATCATCTTACATTATATAAAAACATTCATAAAAGTATATCTTTCCAAGATCTAATACCACATGAGGTATGTTCAAATAGCTCCCAAAGCGATGGCACTCACCAGCAATGTGTCATTTTAGGTGTTGTTTGAGTGACCTTGCAACCTGAGCATTAGTTACTCAAGCCATTTTGTTCCAAGTAGACTGGATGTTCTGCTTTGTTTTTATAACCAGATTTGTGATTGAGATTGTTGTTTTCTTGTTGTGTTTAGTATGGACTCGGTAAAGAAGCAAAGAATTTGTGTTAAATTCTGTTTCAAAATAGGAAAACAGAGCAGTAACACAAAACACGTTACATGAAGCTTATGGCAATGATGCCTGTGGTCAAAAGATAACCTAAAAATGGTTCAAATGATTTAATGATGGAAGAACTTCAATGGATGATGATCAGTGGTCTGGCCAACCTTCAACTTCAAGATCCGAACGCCTGATTGCCCAGGTGAAAAATATTATCTGTGGAAATTGTTGACTATCTGCCCAAGAAGCTGGAATATCTAGTGATTCATGACACACAATTTTAACAGAAGATTTAGGAATGCATTTGGTCTCAGCAAAATTTGTGTCAAGATTCTTGATTGACAACCAGAAACTGCAATGATTTTCCATCTGTGGAGATCCCCTCAAAGAAAAAATGACAAAGGCCTTTTGAGAAATGTCATTACTGGTGATATAACGTGGGTTTACAGTTACGACTCTGACACCAAACAACAATCCTCACACTGGAAAAGAAGTCCTACCTCACCTCATCCCAAGAAAGCATGACTGGTGTGCTTGAGAGTGAAAGCAATGTTGTATGTATGTATGTATGTATGCAAGGGGTGGGCCATAAAAACTGCCCCCCACACTGCTACCTTCAATGATCTATTGTGCTTCCCCTTGGATCAGCCCTTTATTAATAATACACTTTTAATAAAGTGCAGGACCTTGCTTATGGGGGCATCATAAAAGTCACTTGGTTCCATAAAAAAGTGACCCAAGCGACGAAGTCTTAAATAAGCTATGCCCTCACAATCACACAGGATGTGTGTGGCTGATTCGTTTTCTTGTAGGCACCTTTCACAAGCTGGGTTATCAAAAGCAATGTTCCTTCTTCTTGATCACTGAGGCAGTGAAGCATATGAATTTGCTCCTGAAGGTCAGAAAATCAATCGATATTTTTATCTGGCGGTTCTGAGGCATCTGTAGGATGTGGTACAAAGTAACCTGAAACGTGGACTGCGGGAGACTGGCTCCTCCATCATGATAATGCGCCTGCTCACACAGTGATGTCAATTAGAGAATCTTTGGCAAAACATTTAATTCCTACCCTTCCACAACCCCCCTAGTCACATGACCACTCCCCTCCCAATATTTTTGTACTCCCTGAACTCAAAATTACCTTTAAAGGAACAAGATTTCGGACAATGGAAGACATCACTAATGCAATGAAAGGCAATACCACAAATATTCTTCGAACAATGCCTCTAAAGTGGGAAAGGCAGTGGGAGAGGTGCATTACTGCTCAAGGGGGCTGTTCTGAAGGGGAGAGTATTCAATAAGCTATAAGAAGAAACATATTATTTATTGGCGAATTTCAGGAACCTTTTGAACACACCTCGAGTATCATTTAAGACCCCACAGTACAATGCTAGTGTCATTCCTGCATCCATCATGCTGTTATTACTTACTGTGTGGAATTACATATATGGTGCTGAAGTGGTCTCCAATGACATAATGTTCACACTAAGTTTCACAAAAATGTGTCAACTGGACCACAAATTAAAATCTGGAAGGTAGGGGGGAGGCACCACACACAGCATGCTGATCTCATAAACTGACCTTTCTTACTTTTAACTAAGAAAAGTAGGCACATTAACTCACAAATCCAGCAGAATATAATATTATATTTTAGCATCCTGTTGAACTTTCCACTTAGCATTCAAGAACAACACATGCAGCACAACACGACTTATATAAGCAACAGTAGATGGCAGCAGTTTGCTCCCCAAAGATTTTAATGCCTGATGACGAACACATTGGTTGAAACATGTACTGACGGACTTCTAAACTTTCAAAGTGAATAACTTTATTAAAATGTTATGAAACATAGTGATGCACGTGAAACTGTAAAAAAAACTAATACACACCAGCAAAATATTACACCATAAACCATTTCCATGCAAGATATTCAAAATGCACCTACAACTTCAAGTTACTTTAAATACATTTACATAGCACAGCATCTTCCACTGACCCATGGACCAAGTGCTGTTACCTTCAGTAAACAACGAAGAAAACTGTATAGTTTCAGTATTAGTGTTATTTCATAATTTCCAGAAGAGAGAAAGGTGAAAAGATAGGGCTATATTTCATACTAACATACATGCAACTAAATAATTTTAAGTGGCAGTGAAGTCTTTTGTTTGAAATAAAAAATAAATAAAAAGTGTGGAAATAGTAGCTACAATCAAAGAATAGATTTTAAGTGCATTTAATCAAAATGATACTGATGACTTCATGCACTTATGCTGCTGATGATAATTATTTTTATAGAAACTATATTTGAAGGAACAGGATATTTTTTTGAAGCAGAAAATCTGAATTCCTTTTCCTATTTTAGCAAAGGCAGAAATGTTTGTCTGGCAAACATGTTTAAACTCAAGTTTCATACAAATCCAATTAAAACAGCAGGCTGGTGTCAAAGTGCTGTTGGTGATACTACAGATAGGCATGTGGTCTACTACATGCATATTCACGCTTTATAATTCTGGGAACTTATCATATCTAATGCTTGAGCACGGAAGATAAAAATCATGAACTGTCTACAAAATATCCAGAAGTCTGCACTAACCTCACATTGACCACAGTAGTGAGATGCTTCGTTCTTTCCTCTTCCATGAAAACGCACTTCAACGCCCTTTGCCGTGACAAATTCCAAAATGAGTGAACATTGGCGCAATGTCCGTAGTAGGCAGTTTCTGGAGAACACACGCAGATAAGAGCTTTCATTTACATTGAAGCAGAAACACTGAGACAGTCCCACTATTAAGTTTCTTCTGTCAAATACACTAAAACATTTTCAATGTGCTGCAGCTTTCAGTGTTTGTTGTGGCCAGCAGAGGGATCATAATAACAAATAAGAACTGACTGGCTTAGGACACAGGACTCATCTTGCTGGAAAATCAACATTTCAAAGTGTGTTTAAAAATACGGTTGCAAAAAATTACCAATTTGGTAGAACTACTAGGTTTCAGATGTAGTTACATAAATTTTCAGGCATATTTCCATGAAGTATGCACATTTTAACTGGCAAAAGAAACCAAGTCTTCCATTTGGGTAGATGCTGTATGCTGTCATCACAATTTATCAGTGAAGCTCTAAACCTTTCCAAACACTAGAAATCCAAGTTTAAACCCTGCAATATACTGGTGTAGCATTAACTGTACCTTGTTGCTTTATCAGGGAATTTGCTTTCTCCGCCTTTCACTGCACAACGTATGCACGCATGCACACGCACAGCCAGTGACTATGTACATATCTGATAAACATGAATTATTTATGATTCCTCCAATATGGTAACCGTTAAAAGACAGAATGCACCTCACTGACACAGCAGCAAGATGGCAGCAATGAAGTAGCATCACTAAATGACTTAAGATTCAATCACTGCAGACATGACGGAACTGGCCCTCATGAATGTCTCAAATATACAAGATTCATCATGGTTAAGATGTGAATTTTTTTAACGTACTGTATCTCTGAGACTTCCTTCTGAAAGCAAGAATACTTCTAAACTAAGTTATTATGGGCTAGGTTGTTTTCCGACAGGAAGAGCAGGGATTTGTTTGTAACATTTGAAGTTTTCACGGCAGTGACTATGAAGAATGCCATCTTCTGGGAAGTTGCGCCTTGTAGAACATATGTGAGGAACATCAGTTCACACAAGATCTACATGGTGCCACATCTCAAANTCATATGTGAACTGACACTTCAGAGGAACATCAGTTCACACAAGATCTACATGGTGCCACATCTCAAAAGACGGCATTCTTCAGGGATTTGTTTCTTTGCACAACATACAGACTGGTTCAAAGCCCCAACCAGCCGCCTATGTAATGTGATTCAGGATTCTTCCTTTGGAGAAAATTTACCTCAGCAAGGAGCTGTCTTTAAAGAAGTGGGAAGCTTTACTTCTCTTCTCCCATAAATCTTCATGGCATGACACACAAAACAAGGTAAACATGAGGCAAAAATATTGAGCAATCAAATGGTGAAGAACCTTGCCACTTTGTCATGTGTATTAGTGACTTCACACGTGGGTTTAGATTGACAAATCGATTTACTCGATATTCACTACTCATAATTCCAAATAATTATAGCACTTTCAAAATTACTGTAATTATAACACATAAATAAAGTCTTCTATATCTGCTTTAACTAGTCATTACTAGGTGACAGATCTAAACAATGGCTACTCCTCTGCAAAGTTTCCCTATCCATTTCCTGGCAATGCGATTTTAACGTAGGAACTATAATAACTGTCATATTGAGATATCACTGCACTACAGCACACATAAAGTCTTCAAATCACATATTAAGTCCTCACTTGCTGACTTCATAATTCTTCTTCAAATACGAACTTCCCCCGGCTATGTCCTACCAGCAACTGACTCACCTGCTTCAGTTATTCTAGAAATCTCATTATATAGCTGTGGCATGGACCCCATAGAAAATACAGTTCTAATGTAAGAACGGTTGCATAACCTAGCAATTAGTCATACAGAACCCAGTTTGTATTGTTGCTTGGCACAGACCACTTACCAAACAACGTTTCCCCTACATTGTTGCATATTTGAAAGTGTTCACTGAGCCATTGCTTGGCAATGCTTTGATCAAATTTGTTACAATATTATTAGATCATCTTTAAGTTAAGTACAGTGCATCAAGAAATGTTACTTAAGCACTCACTTGAATGCTTTGATCAAATTTGTTACAATATTATTAGATCATCTTTAGGTTAAGTACAGTGCATCAAAAAATGTTACTTAAGCACTCACTTGATGAGCTCAAAGAGTTTTGGATCTGACACTTTAATGTTGCGAGCAAGATTCCAGGAAAGATGCACCATGGGTACTATGCTCTTGAAACTCTGCAGCTTGTTCCACTCATACCGCTCAATTGCTAGCTGGTACTGGCGCGCCGTCAGGGGACCCACATTCCAAGCTATGTTGTTGCACCACCCCACTGCTTGTACCCAATGGACACATCCTGTCAAACACAAACCATCTGCTGGTACAGTTCATTCCTGCTATGAATGGCAGAATGGATGTTATATACCACCTGCTTCAACATTTAAAAATTCTGCATTTTGCTCACAGAGAGAATTTACACTGCTGCAGGAGCTGAGCAGAGTAGGACTGTATCACCCAGTCTGCACACCCTTCTCAGTCTGGAGCACATATTGAAATGGCTCAAGGAATCCACCCTGTGGCGCCTTACTTACGAAACCTGGTTAGTGTACCTGGACAACACAATTGGTTTGCTGAATATTCCCGGAGTATCAGAGGCATACACAATCAGATGACATGAGCCCACTGCACTCAGGTCCCACAACACTGCTCCTTCTACAAGTCCACTTGTTCCAAGCAGCCCTAGATACAGTGCCTGTCTTAGTGCACCACCTTGATCTTCACTCCAGGATGTCACTGAATCCCCTCAGACTACATCACTGATCCAGATGATCACCTTGAAAGGATCTTCCCCGAATGGCAAAAGCTTCAATGACCTTCCTCTGGCCAAGACTTGGTGATACAACAAAACTTGTTCTCCTTCCTGGAATCCTCTGAAGTTGGCTAGATGCTCATTGACCACCTTCAGACGTCATCAGGAATAATGAGGGTGTCAATGCAGCTATTCTACAAGGTCTGTCACATGGTGCATCATGAACTACTCCTTGTGGGAGGGAGCCAAAAACTGAGGTCAGAACTTTGAGGGATTATGGTGTTAGGAATCTTTGAGATGTGGACCAAACCTCTGCATTGGATGGCATGGTGGAACAATATATGGCCAACAGGACACTCAACCTTAGAGACCTTAACAATATCACCTGCAGGTATGGCGTTTTTGAGAGAGTTATTTCTGTCAAAAATACACCATTCTAGCAGTTGATGTGCCAGGTGATGTGATCTCACCATGCTCAAATCATGCGACAGTATGGTTTACACAAGTCTCATGACAGCAAATTTTACCATTAACAGCATTAACAAACTGGTTATGTTAATACATTATATTTTCTGTGAGGCAGGATCTGAAGCTTTAAGTTTTAGTTAACATATTGGTATCACCGACACTTAAAGGCCTTAACTTCACCCAAAAATATGGTTAAAGCTTTGGTATCATAAGAACCCTTTCTTGTGTAATTTGCTAAAAAATGCAGTTTTAAAGACATTAACATATAAGACCTTTTCTGATGTAAGACATTAAAATTTTCTTGAGTACAAGACAAGATCAAGACACAAATTTCAAAAAATTCCAAGAATCAAGGCAAGTACAAGAATTTTCTGTAAAGACCAGTTTTCACACTGTAATAGTTTAACACCCTACCTACTCTTTCATTGCACTACCATATTTACTTAAATGAATAATCATCCTGAATGTAAAATTATGCCATTCTAGGAACCATGTCTGCACAGAAAAAGTAATTTTATGTATTAATGGCATACTCTTATTACATACAAGTAATTGTACAGAAATATCAGAGAAAGTGTTATATATGGAATTTGAGTTGATTTCCTTCTTGAAACAACTACCCTTTATTCAACTTTACCAGTCTCCCTCTGCACACAATTCCTATTCTCTGGCTTAGCTTCAATATCTTCAGAATTTCCATTTGCTGTCTCACATTCACTGTTCACACCTTCATATAAATTGCAAACATTCCCCTTCCATCAAGATACAAGTATATACAGCATTCTTTAAATCCTTTCACTTATCTACTTTTGGAGAGATCTCTGCCATGGCTTTCATTCACTGTCACAGCAGTTCTACACTGGGGCTCTGGTCACCCATACCAAGCTCCATTTGGAATACATATGCTTCATATGATTCTTAAAAGGCTTATATAACAGACCTGTAATCATGCATTTGTTCCTCCAGGCATGACCATAGGATCAGTTTTCATTACTTGAATCACAGAGCCTGATGGCCAGAGTTAAATAACCCTTAAATGTATCCAGCATCCAACCCTGTTTTCTCCACAATATTCTTTATCTCCCATTCCATACAATTTGTATTCAGTCCCTCTTCTATTCACTTAGTCATCCACCCTTAAGACTGATAGCCCCAAAGGTATCTGTGCCTTAGGCACAGTCTTTTCAATTCAGTAACCAATACAGCAGTAGTAACTGCCATTTCTACCAATATACATTTTCATTGCCTGATGTTTTTAAGACAACAGATATTTCATTTGTATCACTAACTGCATGGCATATCAAAATACACCACCATTTCTTCAACAATGCTTCTTAATTCGCTTAGTGGGGGGTGGAGTCCAATTGGGTCCACTCCGCACGGCGGCCACTGATCGGCCTATTGTAGCCTGCCCCGGGTGATGATGGAGAATTTGGTGGAGTGAAGATTGGCAGGGGAAACTGAAGCACTCGGAGACAACCTACCCCAGCGCCACTTTGTCCACCACAAATCCCACTTGACCAGACCCGGGATTGAACCGGGGCCGCCACGGTGAGAAGCCAGCGACTAACCGTTTGAGCTATGGCACGGGCAAACAATGCTTCTTAGTGCAATAATATACTTTCTTGACAAGTGTCACTGCAAAGAAAACCTATTCCTGAATGTTATTTGTACACACCACTGTGAGCTCTCTCACCCAAGTACTAATACTGCATGGACTTGATATTTCATTTGGTTTTGAATCAGTATTCTGGTTGTTTATACTTATTTTTATGACTTGAAAGTACACAGTGTTGACATAAAAAATTTACACTGCCATATTCAGCACCCTAAACACTAGCACATTAAAGCATTAGTCCCCAAATAAGTTGCACAGGACCTTGAAATCCCACTATGCATCCTCAGGCATACGGCAACTGCAGATTCATTTTCTGATGTAATACAACTGCCATGATAATAGTAAACATTACTTAAAACATTCTGAAAAGCTCCAGAAATAAAAAGCATAAACACCCAAAGAAATTAATTTTCAGTATCCTTCATCTCCCATTCGTAGTTTCAACTGACTGTCACAACCAACTAAGAGCATTCTTGCTTCACTTCTGAGTCATAACAATGATTATAACCGGACAAAAAAATGTATAATTTAGTGATAAGCTTGAATTTTCAATAAGAGTAGCATAGTACTCCCACATCCTCACACCACCCCATATGTGTTATGCTTCACTGCTCTATACCACACACCTGCATTAACCCAGACAAGGTCACCAGGGCGCTGAAGGAACCTGTACACAGGAATGTTCTCCTCATAAAGATCTTCCAATGAAGGCCACCATGACCCGTGCAGATAGTTAATGTTGTTCCGCTCACACAGACTATACACTACACCCCAGTATGCATCTGGCACTGCAAACCACTCACAGTCTCCGGGTCCAATATTGATATTGATCGAACAAAAGTTATTGTTCTCCTGGTGGCCTGGTGTTCTGCTCCCAGGTACCTGTATACACAACAGAGAAACCTTAATGATTACAAGAAACAGAGAAGGATAAAATCACAATCAATTACTTTAAGCCTATGACTACACCATCTGGTTTCGTTCTTGGGTTATATAATGACACCTTCAAATTGCGTGGGTTACACAGCACTGAATCTGGTATCACTGATAGTATGCAAGGCCATGGAAGGTGGCGGCTCAGCCATAAAGTACTATAATAGCACTTGCTAGGGCACTGGGTAAAATCACAAAAACCCCACTTAGGACAGACAGTAGTTCAGCTACAATTTCAAGTATGACCTCCCAAATACTTGTCTATAGCACTACACCAACACACTCAATGTTGTATCACAGATATCAAGTGCTAACAGAGATGGTACTATATCTCATTTTATGAACTCTATATGGTTAATGGCAAAACTATGTGCAATGGTGAAATGAGTAGCACCAAATTCAATGCTGCAAAAAGTAACACAGGCAGGTACAATACTTTATATAAGGAAAGAATCCATTTTACATCAAAAGGAAACCCAGATTGCGTAGGTATCACAGTTCTCTGCTTTACCATGTCCAGAATAGCACTGAAGCGCAGTCAGATTGCTCACACACAACACAGCATGGAGGGTAATTCCCATCGACTTCATGTTTGAAATATCAGCCAGGATACTGGGTATCTTCAAGTTTTAAGACTCTCCTTGGTCATTAGAGTGAAATACTGGGACAGTATCTTCAAACAGGCCATATCTTTCTTATTACAGGGTGGGGCACAGAAACTTCCTTTTTGTGAAGACGCATTGTGAAGGGAAGGGAGGTCGCAGAAAAGTGGGGATAGGCCCAGCGAGCGCAGCAGTCGTGGAAGTTTCTGTCTAATGCCCCTCAGTAGGAAACATGAGGTGGACGAGTGAGCAGCGTGTGTTTGCTGTCGAAGCCTATTTTTCGAACAACCCTTTATATGTGGTAGTGCAGCGTGCGTTCCATACTCACTTCGGAATTAAGCCAAGAGGTCCGGTTCTGGCTGGAAATTGATTGTTTTGTGGGTAGAGAACTTTAGGACAACTGGGAGTGTGGTGAAAAAATCATCAGGACAACAACGAACTGTTATGCCAGAAAATGTGGAGGCAGTTCGACAGTCAATTTTGAGATCTCCAAGACGCTCTGCTCGCAAACATGCAGTCGCCCTAGACATATCCAATTGTTCAAGGTGCCGAATTCTTCAAGAACATCTTAATTTCCATCCCTATAAGACGGTTGTGTTGCAAGAATTGTCACCACGTGATTTCCAGAACCAAATAACAGCGTGCAAAACATTACTGGAAACTTTACCCCCTGACGCGTTTGTTTTCTTTAGTGATGAGGCACATTTTCACCTATCCGGATATGTCAATAAGCAGAATATGCACTATTGGAGTGGTAACAATCCCAGAGAGCTCCATGAGCGGCCACTTCACAGTGATACGGTGACAGTATGGTGTGCGTTGTTCAGAGTTGGAGTTATTGGCCTTACTTTTTGAAGACAATCATGCAGTTATTGTCAATTCACAGCAGTATGTGGACATGATTAAAAACTTTTTTGAACCAGCTCTTGAAGAAATGCATCTAGGAAATGTCTGGTTCCAACAGGATAGTGCCAAGGCTGACACAGCCCTAGCTTCGATGACAGTTTTGAGAGCAAAGTTCCCCAGATGGCTCATCTCGCCTCGAGGTGACATCCCGTGGGCAGCGCAGTCACCTGATCTAACGCCCTGTGATTTCTTTTATGTGGATACCACAAGGCAGAGGTTTTTAAACATCGTCCACAAACCTGCTTCAGCTGAAGAATGTTATATGGCAGGAAGTAGCCCAAATTCCGGTGCACATTTTGGAACGTGCAGAGGGCAACTTCAGAAAACGGTGCATAGAGAACGGTGGCCGCCACCTTCAAGATATTTTGTTTAAAACTACATGATTTAAAACTTTAAAGTATGTTCTTTCATTAGCTAAACACAAATTTTGTCTATCAGCAATAATTTTTCCTTTATTTGCCTTCAAAAAAAGAAAGTTTCTGTACCCCACCCTGTACTTCACTGTTATTATGTAATTACTGCAGTTTACAGAGAATCGTTAAATAGGTCCATAATAGTGGCCTAAGCTTGAAGATAACCACTCACCTCTATCCAAAGCAGAAGTCAAAAATATATAGAGCTCTTTGCCTTTACATCTTCATGGTACAAGAGCAGGTTTACATTATACACACCTTCATGTAAAGCTGGACAGTGTTCATGCCAAGAATTACGTGCCCAACATGAGACAGCATGTTGCATGCTGAAACAACGCGGGCAAATGAAGGAAGCTTCATCAGTTCCTGCAGCTGAGGTCGCCACTTCCGCTCATCAGACAGATCGACGTTAGTCCCAAATCGGAGCATCTTGGGTCCTGGCTTTCCTGTTCCACCCAGTCCTCCAACTCCTCCCGAACTACCTTTACTCTTTCGACGAACCACATTACCAGTTGAATCCTTTGAGTCCGAGTCCGATAAATTGCTGTTATGAATGCCAGCTGCCTTTTCACGCTCCTCCTGAAGGCAGAACATCATCAGTCACTCTTTGACAGAAATAAAGTTGAGCATCAATTCAAGAAACAAATCATACCTTCAAGCTCTCCTGGAACGATGAAGCCTGATACTGTGCATACTTAGCAATTGTGGTATGGGACCTGTGGCTGATACAAGCCCAGACTTTGCGGCCCAACTGTGGATCCCAATTTTCATCTGATGTCTGCTGCATCTGAGTTCGCACCTCCACACTGTGATCTGGGTTTGCTTCAACAAGTGTTTTTGTTGAGAATAAGCCCAAATCTGCAATTCAAGCAACATGCAATATCATCACTCCAAAGAATAAAAATTAGGTGAAACCTGGAATTTGTGTTTCTGAAGAGACAATTTAAAATAATAGAAAATAATATAAAATCAAGGAAATGAAAATTCATGTATCTATTCAAATTACAATACACTAAAAATGTAATCTAGTTCACTGCTTCCACAGGCCCATTAAAGTAAGCTGCTACTCCACATCCTGCTGAACCCTATACATCTCTTCTTCCTGACTTACAACCGAAAGTGCTTAAACTCACAGCAACAGACCAATTTATGCTAAATTTGAAGATTACCTGACGAAATGAGAAGAAAGCACACACATGTATTGCAGGATAATTTGACATTGTTATCAATGTACTGCATCTAATTGTTTACTGCAGAGATTCCCAAGGTTTTATGGAACACAAATTTTGTTCTGTATGTATATTTCTCCAATGAATTATGAGTGATAACCTACAGATGTTCTAGTAAAACAAACTCACTAACTCTATGATAACACAACTCAAATGTTCAACACTAATTCCTTGATACAAGCCTGAGCAAATTTTTTGGCAGTTGGTCTGGAATTTACAGAGGTCAACATGTTACAAGAGCAGATTTCTTTCCAAAACTTTGGGCTTTCCACTCTGTTACTTATTCCAATGGCACTTTGTCTGTGTGTGCATGTGTGCGCGCGCACGTTCGCATGTGCGAGAGAGAGAGAGAGAGAGACTGTCTGCGAAAGGGAGATAGATATGCTACACTAGCTAGCACAAATACACGAGTTCTGATCTGCGGCTTAACTCTTTACATCATAGTGCCATACTAACAGCTGAGGTTACATATCAATCAACTGGGTAAGATAGGACTAAATCATGTTGTGATGTATGCTGGACACTGAGATCAGACTGTCAACAACAAGGAAACATTTTTACATCATAACAACACATCAATGTTATAAACCTCTCAATTTAAAAGGATGAAAAGTAATGAAAAGGGATAGGATGGAGAGAGAAATTTCTGACTGTTTATTTTCAGCTTATATCCTAGCATCTGTCACAACCATGAAATGCATCAGTCAAGACTTCTAGATAGTGATACAAACTGGGTACTGTCACAATGTATCAGAAGCATTACAGCCATGCCAACCCATACTGCTGCTTATTTGTGGCTGAACTCGAACAAATGCCTCAACCCTTCACTTACCAAGCTTGAGGGCAGCTGCCAGGCCTCTCACAACAGCTATGGGGTGCTTAAGACAGAACTCCTGTAGCTGTGGACTAAATGCATCCTTTTTATTCTCCAAATATACTGAAGGAGTGGGAGGAAGGAGTTGTTCTCGTGTCAACCGCTGCTGCGGTGGTTCTGGAGGCTGAGGTGGAGGTGCTTTATCTGAGAGAATGCTGCTACTGGGAACTCCATTCAATCCATGACCCCTGAAAATCAAAAGTACGTTGAAGCTGAACAAGCCCATTCACATTATGTAACACACTGTTACTCCTGAACTCAGGAAAAATAATATGGAGCTCAACAAAGAGGATATAAACTAGTAGGTATTACAAAAAAAAAGAAAAATGGCTGTCAATTCTGTTCTTGGGTTACACTCTGTGGCTGTGGGTGATCCTGCTGTTGTTTCAGAGGTACAGGATGCCTCCTTATTCAGGGTCAATGTGTGTAGGCTGGTGACCATGAAGATGGAGACAGACTGTACCTCTGCAATGCTGGCAACATCAAACATAACCACATGGTGTAACTATGCAAGAACAGAAATGTGATCAATAATTAACCAGCACAAAAGACAAAACTCGGTTAAAAAATATGTGAACAACAATGGGTGATGTTAGTGCACTAGGTACTGTTAGTTCATCGGAACTCTAGCCATGGTAGAGGGGTCATACCATCTCTCCTGGAGCAGTCTTATCAGTTTATGTCAGTACTACCAGTTTGGAATACATCATCTTGGAGTCTGGTCAGGTGTATAGTACTACTCCTGGTCTCCATAAGCAATGTTTTCCACTCGGGGAGTAGCTCTGAACATCATCACAGCAAGCGTACAGCTTCGCGTGCTCCACAGCAGCCTTTACCTTTCCACGCGGCTGAAGTTACGAGGCACTAACTATACTATATGAGTAAGAAAATGTCAAAGTGTGCAACCTCTTTACCATGATAAAATAATGCCAAACAAAAACTGAAGGTCAAAAGCACACTTCAAAGTTTTCCCTTCTGCTTCATTAAACTTCTCAGTTACTAGTATTCTAGTCTGGTATATTAAGTATTTATATGATATTTTAGTTAACATGACAAACATAATAACAGATTTCATACTTGTTCAAACATCTCCAAGGGTGCATCATCATCATCAGATAGTTAGGTGGATCAGGGATTCTCAAATTCTGTGATTCCATGCCCCCTACAATACCACATAGATTTAAGTATACCCAACCCCATCTATCTCTGCCAGTTACTGAAAAGTGCAGCTTTGAATATTGTAAACGGCAAGAACCTAAATAATTTTACAACATCTCTACAACCACAGTACGCTACGTTTCTGAAAGTACTGATATTAAATCTTAGTGCTGTGTTAAAATTGTGCATGGATAAATCTTTCTTTGGAACCTGACCCTCTCAGAGTATGTTGCGACCTCCTAGGGTTCACAGCCCACAGTTTGAGAAACCATAACAGACCGATTACATCACCATTATAAAGTTACTAAACTTCTATTTTAAACACAGAATGGGAACCAAATTCACCATGCCAGACATCTCAAACATACAACACTCTTTTTCACAAGGTTGCCTGCCAGAGACATGCTAGACAAAGCTTAACAACAATTCCTCACTGTATGAACTCTTGGTAGCAACAATGCCCAATCAGTGTTCCTTCTTCAATGTGAGGCCAAGTTTTGCATGGGGGGGGGGTAAAAAATATGAACGTCCCATGTCACAATGATCAGATTTCCTCAGAAACACTACAAATATACACCTGGATATACGCCTACCAAAATGCCACATGGGAGACTTCTGAAGCTGGTTTCCTTAAGAGATGTACAACCAGAGCTTCAGACATACCGCTTTACTACCTACAGCTACTAATCTACATCTGCTTGCCCAAATATTTTAACTGAGGTTACACGTGTACTCAGTACTAGTACCCATTAACTTTGTCAGGATAAATGCATTTCTGGAATCCTGGCCAGAACTGCACAAAATACATGATTTCTCAGTATTTTCTACTGATCATCTTGGGCAATGAGGTTTCAAATAGACCCATATCATTGCATATCCCTAGCGGTTACATATTTCATGATAAAATGTGCATGGGACCACCAACTTACTCAAATCTGCTATGCGCAAAGACACTTACTTGCACGATTCCAGCACTGCCCTGGCATCCATGTCAATACTGTATTCTATCTCTGGTGGGGGCTCACATACTTCAAGCACAGATGTATCCATCTTCAGGTCCTGCCGAAATATTGGTGCAGTCCTATGAACAGCTGATGTCTCAAGCTTGGGTGTATCAGAGCGTCTCTCATGAACTGGGGATGAGGATGTAACACTGGATGACAGTAGGCTGGTGGATGTTGGTGTTCCTATTCGCTGGTGATCTGAAGGTTTTGGGCTGGTCAGACTACTTACTACAGACGGGGACGATGACTGCTTTATGTGAACATTCTCCACTGTTGTGGATACTGCAGAGTTCATTGTAATAACACTATTAGCAGTGGTATTTATGGTTGCATCCTGAAGGTTTGATGGGGAGAATGGACCAGAACTGAGTGTGTTTGTAGAATTCTGATTGGACACAGAACTGATAATGCCCTGTGTTGCTGTCACAGCCTCCTCTTCCTTTACATCCAAATCTTCACTACTGGAACCAAAATGTTTGAGCAGATCTTCGGCAAGTGATGTGGCGATATCTTTTTGTGACAGCAGAGCTTGCAGTTCCTGATCACTAACAGGCAACTCCTTTGATGAGGGAGAGCTTGGTGGGAAGGCATGATGGTATGAGACAGGCTCCTGAGGCTGCGGTGTGCTAGAAGAAGGTGTGCTTGTTGATGAGATCTGTAACCACATCGTTTGCTTTCAGTTCAAATTCAACCCAGCATTAAGTAACAGAATTTCATAAATGGCACAATTAACACATTAGAACAATCATTACAAAAATCTGTACTTTAAGTATTGTTACTGTACGTCAGGTATTGCAGTTCTGTAGCCAGATGTATTCCAGGCTTCTGCAACTGTGGACTTTATTGTAAACAGATAACCTTGTTTTACGGACTGACCTCTCCTAGATACTACGGGCTCTGCAGACCCTGCGTTCAAGTGGTTATTACACAGTAACATGGAAAGCAATAACAGATGTATCAAACAAAAATGAAGACAAGTGGCACTATTCTCCCTTTGCAGGACTGGAAAAATAGCTGGCTGAGGGGCACAAAGGTAGGGAGGAATGAGCTGTAGATATTGATGCCAATCTGGATGCAGACAATGCAATGGTAGCGTTAGTAACCCTACTGCAGTCAGTACTGTCCAATTTAATCATCATTATCATAATCATCATCATCATCATCATCTTCATTTAAGAACATTTTAGTTACTAGCAAAATAAGCGGCCTCCGTAGTCTAGGGGTAACGTTCCCACCTCATGACTCAAGGTACGCAGGTTCAAACCTGGCAGAGGTCGTGGAATTTTTTAGGGCAGAAATTTCAGGGAACAAGTCCTCCAGGAGGGATTTTAAGCCGTGGATCCCATGTCGTAGCTTTACGGCACGTAAAAGAACCTCATGCCTCAAGGAGGCCTCTGAGCCAAATTATTGAGGACATTTCCTGCACAACAATAGTCTCTAATGCTTCTGGT